GAAAGAAAATGTGACCTGAGCAATATTAGTTCATAGGAAAGATAAAATTAAATAACCTAAGTGGTCCCATTTTGACAATTTTAAGAAACAAATGCACTTAGTACATTCTCTATAATTGTCCACCTAAAATTAGATGCTTAATACTCTTTGAAGAGTAAATTGGTTCCTATAACTAGACCGTTGGAATTACAGCAAAACAGTCATCCTAAAAAGCACTATTGCCCAGCATTTAGAAATGTGAATACAAAGCAAACCCTACTTGGCAATTACATATATTTTTATTTATAAGCATTTAGCTAAAATTTATTTAGCGAATAACTGAAATATAAATAATTTGCCAATATAATGTAAGCTTGGATTTCCATATTCTAAAAGTACTTTTATGTTTTTCTAAATATTTCAAATAAAACTTATGTCTATATCTTCAAGTATAGTTCCCTTTTCTCTTATGTATTAGCAACCAAACTGAATTTTAGGTGATCAAGCATGTCATTTTATTCAAATTATATGATGGAGGTCCCTACACTGTAAGATTACAACCAGGAACAGTGCATCCATGAGTATAATGCATGTTGTGAATAATCACTATCAATGCCACTGTATTCCCGCATAAAAAGGCAGATAGCCCACTACTGATTTATTCTTCTAATTTCAACAATCATTGATCTTGAGGTAAATGCCAAAAAATCCTGAATAAACTTTGAAATGTAAAACAAAAATGTTTTAAAGATGTTTAATTGCAGTTGGCCAATATATACTTAATATGGCTTGCATTTTTATTTTGAAATAACATGGTGATTAAAAGGATTTCTAGGTCTTAAATCTGGAAAAAGGATCTGGAAAAACTTGGACTCCATGAGTAGTTTGCATTCAATCTTTCTGTGCTTTTTTTTTTTTTCCTTTATAACAGGAATGGGATGGGGGAAGAATAAAAGTCCTCATACTATGTAAGTCATTTACTGTGATAAACAAGAATACAAAAACTATGGATTCTAAAATATATACATAAAGAAATAACTGCCAATCTTTGTCTACCTCTACATCATTTTGTCATAGAAGTTCATTAATTGTGATTAAAAACTTAAAAGTTTTTTCAGAGAAAAGATGCAATAAGAAGTAGAAAGGAAGTAGAAAAGAAATTGTGCAAAAAAAGCAGTTTATTAGATAATCTGACCCTGGGACACACTATTCCTTTCCCCCAAAATATCTTCCCTGATAAGAACTGAATTTAAAATTATTCTCACCTCGTTAGATTGCCTGAAAATCTAGCAACTAGAAACTTGATTAATGCACATCTTCCTTAAAAAATGCTAATTAACTATCAGCCACTGACAGAAAAATATAAACTAATTTAATGAGATAGCTTTCCTTTCACCTTTTTAGTTGGAAATATCTGTTCTGAGAAAATGGATATCCTGATCTGGGGAAGGAGAAGAGGAAGGAACAAGGAGTAAGGGCCACACTGTATCCTTCTGGGGATAGGGTAAACTTCGTTGGTGGAATATTGCTGTGAGGTGCTCAAGTAGGATAGATAGGATGAAGGGGCTGGAAAGCAGGAGAAAGAGAATTTACAGAATACCACAAATATACTTTGCCTACTTTAAAGCATAAGTTTTATCGTGGGCCTTAGGGCCAAGATAATTGGTTGTTTTCCTTCTTCATATATGAAAGACCTCTGTCTAGAAAATACTAGTCAACCTTTATGCAAGTTTCTGTGGGCAGTACTATTTTAACATGTTGTTCTAATGGGCAGACATTATAAATACCAAGCATCTGTTCTTAAGGTTGTGGGTTGCCTAAACATATGGAATCCCTTTGAGCCAAACAAAGGTGCTATCAAAAATGTTTTATTATGTTGAATTACCAATGACAATAAATTACAAAAAACAATGTTTAGACATTGCTGAGTCTAACAAAATAGGCAGAAGTTTGATCTTTGTGAAAGAACTTGAAACCATTGTTTTTTTTTCCCACAAAAATCCCCATCACCAGCACTGAATTTTAATTTTCTTGAAAACTGTTTCCTGAGTTTATTCATGGTAATACGTGCTTAAGGACAACAGATTGTTAGTCTATTTGAGCAAACCTGATGTTTTCTCTAAGAAAAATTCAATATCTTCTCCCTTCAAGAACAACAATAAAACCCCCAAACTGTGCTATCATTAAATACTACCAAAAACCATTAACTAGAAAAACACAATGCAAAATAATTATTAAAGAATCCATTAGAAACCACAGTATTTTAAAGTCTTTTAGAAATAATGTGTTTTTTACTAGTTAAGCATTTATGGAAGCCTCATCAAAAAATATTCAATTCAAATCTGCATTTTTGGCTATAGAGTTCTAGCCAAACTGGACAGGATTAGCCATCCTTACCTGGGCTCCTTCTACAAAATTACAGTATAATTTGAAGCTTTCCCATACAATAAGTTTGCCTCCTACTACAGTTGTTAAGCTAGTATATTGGAGTTTTTCAGTAGAAAACCCTCAAACAATTATTGGGCACATCCTGTAGCATACCTGTGTCTTTTATATACTGTCAATCCTCATTAGGTGATCAGAAATCACACTGTTCATTGCTTAATACTTACAGTGTTCCTTTCATGATAGGACTGTATGGCATGAACTTTATGAGCAAGCTAATTTAAAATTAAGACTATCCACTTTTTAAAGTCATTGATTATAGAAAACCTGAAAGTTTTTCGTAATCATTTTTCATTTCTCAATTTCACATCCCCTAATTTTATTACTTGAAATGCATCCATGGAAATAGTATCTCTGTCCTGAAAACTTCAACACCAAAATCACACCTCTGATTTTGACATATCAATTCTGATAGGAAGAAGGCATAACAGCACAAGATAATGACAGGAGGAAAATAAGTCAGAATATATGCATACAAACTGTTACATGCAAGTACATAACAGTAATAAAGCAAATGAGAAAAGAAAAATCCAAAATGGAACATAAAAAAGCCACAAGACATGATACCTAACTACTTCTAGGCAATTATTTTTCATGTGGCATAAGTTGTTCTTTAATCTCTTTCAATTACTTCAAAAAGATACCTCAAAATAAGAATACATACTTTAATATATCACACCCAGGAAACAGGTCTTTGTGCATGGAGTATAGATTATTTGCATTACAAAGAGAATATGTATAGTTTATTTTATTAAATACCAAAGTTACAAGTTTCCCAGCCTAAATTGTATACTTCAGCACTCAGTAATCAACTTTCTCTCTGAATGAAACAAAGTAAAATACATAGCAAACAACACACCTAACACACACAAGTAGTTCACTTATATTCACTAAAGAAAACTGTGATACCCTCCAGTTTACATTCATGAACTCTTTCTGTCAGTAGTAGTAGTAGTAGTAGTAGTAGTAGTTGCTGCTGTTGCTGTAGCAATGGTATTTTCTTCAACAACGTGAAATGATTCTTTAACATTCCATCATTTAGAAAAAATAATGCATACTACACAGTGGTTCTGAATTATACATTAAATAAGACCAATTTGGCCAGATTTTTTTATAAATATGATTTCAAAATGTGCTCACATTTCATGTAGACCATTAATATTATTCATATTGAAAATGTTAGTGTATCTTCATGAAGTCAAACTATTAAGTAGCATTGTCTAAAGCTTACTGTAATACATTATACTATATCATGTGTGCTATATGCACAAGTCCACTATAGTAAGATGTCAACTGTATTACCATAGGATTCAAGGAAGAATAATATGCTACGCTGTACTTCAAAGCACATTGAAGACAGAAAAACAACAGTGTAGTTCATTTATAAAGGGGATAGATGATTATTAAATCCAATTGGTTAACTTGAAAATCAGTTTATATAACACCAGGATAGTGTCAACACCACATACTTCATTTTCAAAGGCTTAACTATGACCTATTTAGAAGATTACACCAACAGTATAAAGCCTTTGGCAAAAAAAAAGTTTCACTTGTACTAAATTTCTATTAGATGTAAAATTTACAGAAGCCTTATAAAAAACCTTTATTTCTAATGAGGCCACTTATGGATAATATACAGATCTGCCTGAACACATTATCTGTGATATAATTCTTCTATAAAAACTTTGGCACCAACTATATCAAGATTTAATATATTAGCACAAATGTATTTTGCTCTGGCACCAAACCACTATGTTTACATTTTAGTAACTACAGTGAGGCAAATAAATGGAGTCCTTTGGTTTTACAGAATAACAAGCTTCTACAATATGTTTTTGTTGTTTTTCTTTTTTTAAAAAAGCCTATCCTTCAGGATCTGATGTTAAAAAATACTAACATTGCTTGTCATTGTACTATTATATATGTATACTGATTGTTGGTAATGATTCCCCAAACCATAATTGTATGAAACAAGAAAAAAATTAAATTAACTTTATTTAAAAGGAATTTTAGAAGCTAATGTGCAGAGAAGTTGTGATGACCTGGTGGACATCCATTATGTGCTTAAATGAACACTTGAACACTACTGCAAACACATAATATGAATATTGTGGACCTGTGCATGGTTTTTTAAATCTCATTTCCCCTAAAAATGGGGACTTATATTACTTAATATTCAAGTAATTTAGCAGAAAACGATGCCTTTGATAAGATTCGGAAAAAAAACTACACATTTAATTTCATCTTCATCCAGTTTAACCAAGGAACACCACAAATCTTACAGGCCAGTTGATGTTCGCTTTTTCATGCTCCGTCGCTGGGCTAAGCTTGAAGCAGCTACAGGCTCTAGGACTGGTTGAAACGTCTTGTGAGTCAGGGCAGAATATGTTGCAACCATTGCTCCCTAAATTAATGAGAAAATGTCACAAACTAAGTAACAAATCTGGAGTTAAAAAAAAAAAAAAAACAAAAAAAAACCTTTCACATTATATCATGAGACATTTAATCTAGAACAAAATGTCTCCTAGGAAAATAACTGAATATATTAGATCTGGAACTGATGCTCCTTTGATGAATATTACTTGTATGTTTTTCATTCCAATAACTACGCTTTTTACAAAAAAATGTTAAAATACTAACATTTAAAACCTTAGTTCAATATATATGGATATAGAAATGGTTTCATGAACCGTTATAATTTACGAACAAATAGCAATCTTTTGTTTCTATGTGAAACTTGCACTTAGCTCAATCCTAATTCCAGCATCTCTCAAAAACAAGGCAGGTACAATCAAGAAATTTTTATTGTTTCACCTGAAAGGTAGTAGTAAAGTAAACTAAGAAAATCACATGGTTGTTAATTTAAAATAATCTATCTTTAAAAAATAAAGATATTTTAAGGAATTATCTAAGTGTCATCAGCAAATGGATTTATTAGGTATCAGATATTTAGAAGGCACCTAAAAGTATGGTTGTTTTACCTTAACAACATGTGACATATCATTTCTCTTTGGCTGCTCATTTGGCAACTGGTCTCTGTGAGTTATCCATGAGTGCTTTAATATTTGTTCAGTAGTGTACCGCTGACGTGGGTCCATATGAAGCATATGGGAAAGCAAATCCTAAATTAAAATAAAAAAAATGTGTATACACACAAATATATATAATTTCACATTTACTGAAAATGTGACAGCATCAATAGCCTTGTAATTTGTTTATTTTACCTACACTTATGGAAAGTAAAATCTATACTCTGTACAGTTAACTCTCAAGAGAATCTCGAGAGAGATTTTTCAATATATACTAAATCCTCATATGCCACTTTTAAATTGGGAGGTACCAAATCTATAGAATTGGGTGCGTTATTAGTGAGGGAGGAGGAAAATGACAAATGGCAGAAGTTATCCTGGAATGTGCTAAATGTTCAGAAAGAGACAAGAGCTATTGAATTCTGCTGTTAAGTTGGGCCCCAAGGTGTAAGGGAATGTGTACACAGATAAAACATAGAAGGGAGAGCCCCTTGTAGTTAATACATTCAATAAATGGTGATTTACTGTACACCATATTAAGAATGCAAAGCATAAATCCAATGTTACCAACTGGCTTTTACCATAGTAATGCTCAGAGCACTGTAAGTTTTCCATCAGAATAACTATGAATTTGTTTATGTTACCTCTGTTTTAATAAAAAAAAGTTGTAAATTTAATATAACCTTACTTGAAAAGTTTTAAATATATTACAAGAGGTAATACTTTTAAATAAACTGTCTCTCCCAAGTATCTTTTAGAAAAATGAGAAGTAAACTCCTTAACAAGCATTTTTGGAAGATTTGGCAAGATGGCTGAATAGGAACAGCTCTGGTCTGCAGTTCCCAGCAAAACCAATGCAGAAGGCGGGTGATTTCTGCATTCCAGCTGAGGTACCCAGTTCAACTCACTGAGACTGGTTAGGCAGTGGGTGCAACCAACAGAGGATTAGCAGAAGCAGGGTGGGGCGTCACTTCACATGAGAAGTGCAAGGAGCTGGGGGACCTCCCTCCCCTAGCCAAGGGAAGCTGTTAAGAACTGTGCTACCCAGCTGGTATAATATGCTTTTCTCATGGTTTGCAATCCATGGATCAGGAGATTCCCTCGTGTGCTACACCACCAGGGACCTGGGTTTCAAGGACAAAACTGTACGGCTGTTTCGGCCAATACTGAGCTAGCTACAGTTTTTTTTTCCCCTCCCATATTCCAGTGGTGCTTGGAATCCCAGTGAGACAGAACCATCACTCCCCTGGAAATGGGGCCAAAGCCAGGGAGCCAAGTGTTCTCACTCAGTGGGACCCACTCGCATGGAGCCCAACAAGCCAAGAACCACTGGCTTGAAGTTCTCACAGCCAGCACAGCAGTATGAAGTCAACCTGGGACAATCAAGCTTGGTAGCAGGAGAGATGTCTACCATTACTGTGGCTTGAGTAGGTGGTATTCCCCTGACAGCGCTAAAGAGGCCGGAGGGCTTGGAATGAACAGAATTCATCACAGCCTAGCAAAGTGGCTGTGACCAGACTACCTCTTTAGATTCCTCCTTTATGAACAGGGAATCTCTGAAAGGCAGCAGCCCCATTCAGGGGCTTACAGATGAAACTCCTATTACCCTCGGACAGAGTACCTGGGAGAAGGGGCAACAGTGGGCACAGCTTCAGTGGACTTAAACTTTCCTGCCTGCTGGCTCTGCAGAGCACTGGAGCTCTGCTAATGGACAGACTGCCTCCTAAAGTGGGTCCCTGACAGCTGTGCATCCTGACTGGGGGAGACCTCCCAACAGGGGTCAACAGACACCTCATACAGGAGAGCACTAGCTGGCATCAGGCTGGTGCCCCTCTAAAATGAAGCCTCCAGAAAAAGAAGTGCGAGGCAATCTTTGCTGTTCTGCAGTCTCTACTACTGATACCCAGGTAAAAAGGGTCTGCAGTGGACATCCAGCAAACTGCAACAGACTTGCAGAAGAGGGGCCAGCCTGTTAGAAGAAAAACTAACAAACAGAAAGCAACAACATCAACATCAACATAAACAATAAAGATCCCTATGCAGAAACTCCATCCAAAAGTCATCAGCCTCAAATATCAAAGGTAGAAAACTCCACAAACATGAGGAAAAAAGTGAAAAAATCGTGAAAATTCCAAAAACCAGAATGCCTATTTTCCAAATTATCAAAACTCATCTCCAGCAAGGGCACAAAACTGGACAGAGAATGATACTAATTAATTCACAAAAGTCGGCTTCAGAAGGTTGGTAATAACAAACTCATCTGAGCTAAAGGAGCATGTTCTAATCCAATGCAAGGAAGCTAAGGGCCTTGATATAAGATTACAGGAATGGGTAACTAGAATAACTACTTTAAGCAACATAACTGACCTGATGGAGATGAAAAAACACTGCACGAGAACTTCGTGAAGCATACACAAGTATCGATAGTTGAATTGATCAAGTGGAAGAAATATCAGAGAATGAAGATCAACTTAATGAAATAAAGCATGAAGACAAGATTAGAGGAAAAAGAATTAAAAAGAACTAACAAAGCCTCCAATAAATATGAGACTATGTGAAAAGAACATATCTACGATGGATTAGTGAACCTGAAAGTGACAGGGAGAATGGAACCAAGTTGCAAAGCACACTTCACGGTATCATCCAGGAGAACTTCCCCAACATAGCAAAACAAGCCATCATTCAAATTCAGGAAATACAGAGAACACAACTAAAATAATCCTTGAAAAGAACAACCCCAAGAGACATAATCATCAGATTCTTCAAGTTTGAAACAAAGGAAAAATGTTAAGGGTAGCCAGAGAGAAAGGTCGGGTTAACCTACAAAGGGAAACCATCAGGCTAACAGCAGATCGCTCTGCAGAAAGGCTACAAGTCAGAATAGAGTAGGGGCCAATATTCAACATTCTTAAAAAAAAGAAGAAGAAGAAGAATTTTCAACCCAGAATTTCACAAACGGCCAAACTAAGCCTTATAAGCCAAGAAGAAATAAAATCCATTACAGACATGAAAATGCTGAGGGATTTTGCCACAATCAGGCCTGCATTATAAGAGCTCCTGAAGAAAGCTTTAAATATGGAAAGGAAAAGTGGTAACTGCTACTGCAAAACAAAAATATAAAGATCAGTGACACTATAAAGAAACTGCAAAAACTAATGTGCAAAATAACCAGTTAGCATCATGAAGACAGAATCAAATTCTCACATAACAGTATTAACGTTCAATGTAAATGGGCTAAATGCCCCAATGAAAAGACACAATCTGGCAAATTGGATAAAGAGTCAAGACTCATTGGTGTGCTGTATTCTGGAGATACAGCTCATGTGCAAAGACACACATAGGCTCAAAATAAAGGAATGAGAGAATATTTACCAAGCAAAGGAAAGAAAAAAAAATAGCAGGGGTTACAATCTTAGTCTCTGATAAAACAGACTTTAAACCAACAAAGATGAACAAAGACAAAGAAGGGCATTACAAAATGGTAAAGAGATCAATGCAACAAGAAGAGCTAACTCTTAAATATATACGCGCCCAATACAGGAGCATCCAGATTCATAAAACAAGTTCTTCCAGACCTACCAAGAGACTTTAGACTTCCATACCATAGTAGTGGAAGACTTTAACACCCCACAGTCAATATTAGACAGATCAGCAAGACACAAAATTAACAAGGATATTCAGGACATAATCTTAGCCCTGGACCATGCAGACCTAATAGACATCTACAGAAATCTCCACCCCAAATCAACAGAATATACATTCTTCTCAGAAACACATTCCACTTATTGTAAAATCAAACACATAATTGAAACTAAAACACTCCTCAGAAAATGCAAAAGAACAAAAATCATAAAAAAAAACACATTTCTCAGACCACAGTACAATCAAAGCAGAACTCAAGATTAAGAACCTCATTCAAAATCACACAACTACATGGAAATTGAACAACCTGCTCCTGACTGACTACCAGGTAAATAATGAAATGAAGACAGAAATAAGTCATTTGAAACCAATGAGAACAAAAACACAATGGACCAGAATCTCTGGGACGCGGCTAAACCCGTATTAAGAGGGAAAGTTTATGGCACTAAATGCCCATATCAGAAAGCTGAAAAGATCTGAAATCAACATTCAAACATCACAATTTAAAAAACTAGATAAAAAAGAGCAAACAAATTCAAAAGCTAGCAGAAACAAGGAATAACTAGGATCAGAACAGAACTGAAGAAGATAGAGACATGGAAATATCTTTTAAAAAATCAATGAATTCAGAAGCTGTTTTCTTTTTGAAAAGATCAACAAAATAGATAGACCACTAGCCAGACTAATAAAGGAAAGAAGAATCAAATAGACAAAATAAAAATGATAAAGGGGATATCACCATTGATCCCACAGAATACTATAAACACCTCTACACAAACAAACTAGAAAAGCTAGAAAAAGGGGATAAATTTCTGGAAACAAATAACCTCCCAAGGGTAAACCAGAAAGAAGTTGAATGCCTGAATAGAGCAATAACAAGTTCTGAAACTGAGGTAGAAATTAATAGTCTACCAACAAAAGAAAGCCCAGAACCAGATAAATTCACAGCCAAATTATAAGTGAGGTACAAAGAGGGGCTGCTACAATTTCCTTATCAAACTATTCAAAACAATAAAAAAGAGGGATGCTTTCCTAACTCATTTTATGAGGCCAGCATCATCCTGATAGAAAAACCTGGCAGAGACACAACAAAAAGAGAAAATTTCAGACAAATATATTTGATGAACATCGATGCAAAAATCCTCAATAAAATACTGGCAAACCAATTCCAACAGCACATGAAAAAGCTTATCCAACACAAACAAATTGGTTTCATCCCTGGGATGCAAGACTGGATCAACATATGCAAACTAATAAACATAATCCATCACATAATACCAATGACAAAAGAATCACGATTATCTCAATAGATGCAGAAAAGGTCTTATGAAATTCAACACCAGTTCATGTCAAAAACTCAATAAACTAGGCATTGATGGAACATACCTCAAAGTAGTAAGAACCATTTATGACAAACCTATAGCCTACTATAGCCTATATCATACTGAATA